AGATTCGACGAGTGCAGTGATCGGCTTTGCCAGCTTATTAATAGCTGAACATTATCATGCTATAGCTACTTGCGACTTCTGAACCAGAATATACAGTTAAGCAACATATTATCTTTTTGTATCTGCAACTAACTTTATCCATTATTTATATTAAAAAATAATCTTGCTCTTGGCAACTTAGCTTGCTGTTTCTCATACATTTATTTAATGAAATTTTAATGAAATTATTTTTTGCATTTATATTACATGACACATTGTCGTGTCTTAATGTAATCCATTCATAATATTTATGCGCAGCTTTTTTATTCTTTTATTATGTTTATATAGATATACAGGAAAAAGGTACCCGTGAGATATCTAAAAAGCATGAAAAAAATATCAGATTTACGTAACAGTGTAATTGAAAAAAGAGCCAGCGGGGTATCGTATTACGCAGTTAAATTTGCAATATTGAATTTGAAAGCGGTAATACGTAAATCGCATTGAATTACGTCCGAGAAAAACGAAATTCAGTTGTTTCTATACATTTGTATACTGAATGTTTTTTCAATTATCTCATTTTGCTAGAGAATTTAACTCGAGATGAAATATTATACAACAAATATCAGTATCTAATATATTCCAAACAACTCACTTGGATATACGAATCTTGATGGAAGATTGTAGGTTCGGTAAACATCATTTGTACACGGACCAAGCGCGGATAATTTGTCGTCCTCCGAAAGCTTATTGTCAGCACAAGAGTATGGTATACCGACCATTTTTCATTTAGATTAACTCAATATCGTGTAATTTAATTTATTGCAAAAACGCTTCAATATTAGTAACACGCTTTGCGTTTGAATTCACTTCTAGAAAACAGCCATGATTACTCGGTTACTATAGAAACGACATTATTACATACGCGATTGATTAAACATAAATGTACGAAAGATATAATATACTGAGGTAAATTACAAGATTTTACTTATTTATTATTTAAATTTTCTAAATATTACATTTTAATTTAATCGATTTAATCATAAAATTAGCCCATGACGCAAATTGCGAATTACTGTTATATGTATGTATAATAAATTGTTAAGGTGTCATATAACATTATTATCAGCTGTTGTAGCTAATAAATTAAAGCAAGACAATATACGTATACTAACGCTATTATATGTATAATATTAGTTATCCACGACGATATAAATATGGAGACATATATGCAAATAATATGTATTTATATTCAATGCATTATTTAATTGATGAGAATTCAACATGATAAAATAATACAATAATTTATTAATAAATCTCTCTCATTCTCTATTTCTTTAAATTTCCACATAAATATCTCTATTTACATTATTTCTATATATAATGCAATATAATTATAAAGAGTGCTTAATTCTTGTTTAACAATTCTGATATTGGAAGTGAAAAAAATGAATTTATATAAAATTTGTATCAATTGTTGTATTCTATAAGTTGTATAATATAATTACGAAGTTCTTTACGCATTACGGCCTCTCACATGCACCTAAGTTTCAAGTACAGAAATGGAAATTTATGCACATGTACAGAACCAGATACGGGCCCCTTCTAACAGTTTTCAGATTAGGGTCAACAGACTTACTTAGGTGAATGCCTGGCAACTGGACTGTATTTTATATTTAAATAGAGTTTGCACTATATATTGTGCTAGTTATATTATCGCGTACACTGATAATAGAAATGGTTTGTCGGACATTTGGAGGACAACAGTGGTAAAATATGGTAAACAATTGTAAGCAAGGCAGAGTGTGATAATATATAAATAATTTTTTCTCTTCGCAAAGAAAATAAATTATCTATATTCTACTAATTTTGCTTAAAATTGATTACGAACAATGAGTTATCTTTTAAAAAGTAAATATCAGTTAATTGTGCGATAAATTTATTTTTCTAATAATTTACTAAAATATAAACACAGTACTACTAACTAATATATAAACATATTGATAATATATAATATAAATTTAGTATTGTCTTAAATTAATTTACACATATCGTTCATTATATATAAAATATATTATATATAAAATTATAAATATAAAGAAGATTTTCGTAAGATTTTTTTCTTAAAGAAAAAGAAATCAACAAATCGCAACGATCGTACTGTAATTTTTTCTTCAATAATTTTACATACAGTAAATATAAAAAAATAAATATAAAAATAAACATAAAACAAGAAATCACGATTCGATGTTATATTCATGAAATAAATATTTCATATATATCAAAACAAAATAATATGTTTTTTCTGTTTATATGAAAAGAATATTTATCTCTCTCTCTGAAAAGCACCGAGAATGTTTAATTTATAAGCTACGGTTATACATGTTGTTTACGAAATGCAAATAAATGTACAGACAAAAGACATGTCCATTTTTCAGTTCCACCTCCATTAACTGAGCCGAGTGACAACACACATGTAGGTATAGACTTAACGAAACGATTATTATCACCGACACTTCCAGTTGCGGTCTGGCTACCAGAAAGGAATTACTAACTCACGATAAGATGTACGTTATATTCAAGAAATTAAAAAAAGAAACTTAAAAATAATCGCGTTTATACATAGTTTTCCAAAATTGTAGTGTTACAAAATGTTTGCTAATATCAATTACTTTAAAATAAAATGAATGTAAAATTTTTTAACTACAAAGGATATCTGAGTTTGTTAAATATAATTTGTATACTTATAGTGAAGTGAAAATTGCGCGTTTATAAATACAGTGCGAATTATTAATACAGTATTACATTTTCAAGCAGATATAAACAGAAATTGCAAAAGGATAACTAATACAAATTAATATTTTCTTCATATGTGGATAATCTTTTGAATACACTCACAAATCTTATCAGTAATAATTATAAATTAATCTATAAATTAATTTTAAATAAATGCATAAATTTTTAATTTTAATGTTTAATTTGTCTTATATTCATTTATGACTTTAATACATACAATAAAGTTATTATTATTTTATTATTATTATTATTATTATTATTATACTCATTTAAATATGTTAAATATATCCACGATAAAATAATGAGAAAAAAAAGATAAATATTATATAATTAGATATAACTAGTGACGTATATGAAGAAGATTATCATTTATCAATGTTTTTATATCCTATAATTAGTTTCAAGGTTATTCATCAATTTACTCAGTTGCATCTGCAGCTTGTAACAACATTTTTAATAAATAATATTCTTGTTGTACTAACCATGAACTATCAAACATATAAAATTTCGCGTCTCATAAATTTTACAATATAGAAAAATATTGTATAATAACTCTCATTTGTATAGAAAGATTTTGATTAATAACACTGATTTATAAAAAAAGCATCTAAACTAATCATTTTTATATTGCTTTATTATGTCACAGATTTGCAAAATTTGCAGTTGAAAAGTGATTTTTAAGTATTTTTAAAAGGACAATTTTTAAGTTTTGTCATATTTGTAACG